TAGCCTGATGCCTTTAACTACTACATCAAACTGGCTATCACATTTTTATTACTATTTAAAAATGGCCACATGATGAACCCCACAAAAAGAGGAACAAAAACAAGGAACTATGTTCAAACCTGTCTTCGACAAGCCATTTTATCAGCGATGCTAGCAAAACATTCAAAATAATCACCAGGCTTTTTAATGTCACATATTAAGGACAGTATGAACTGTACGCAGAAATATATGTGGTCTGAAGTTTATATACTTCATGCACTGAAAGGAAAACCAGACCTCAGGTAACTTTAACAGGAGAGGGCTGTTTTAAATTTCTTAAGAATAGCTAAGACAATTTTATTCCCTTTGATAAAACCCTTTTGGAAGGTTTTAAATCCAGAGTTACCCTCTTTCTGTTCAATACAGTATTTTAAATTAAATAGTTTCAGAGTATTCTCTATTCTTCAAAATGAATGAGAGTCTTCCTCTCCTTCTTCGGTTCTTCCTCTCAATACAAACGATGGGCACATCTTTTTAACCTGGGATCACATGTAAAGTAAACTGTGTGAGGACAAGCGCTCAACTTGATTTGATATATATTAAATTCAACCCACTTCACAGGGCTATTCCTGTATATTTAACCCGCTTCCCCTTTGGAGAAGTTTGGGGCCTGTCCTTTTGCTTTTTCAGCCCAAAGCTTTCACCCTGCCTGGGAATGTCCTATTTAAGGTTGATGCAGGTACTGTACCAACAGGAAGATACAGATGTTATCCCTCATGCATTGGGGCGTGACATAATATAACATGTCACTGTTGTGCCATATAAATTATTTCAGTTAAAAAAATATCTGGAGAAGTACCCCAAAGTGCACACCTGAGCTTTTGAAAAGAATCGCTGATGTAATACTACATTTTATTTAGGTTCAAGATACTTTTCTTCTAGCCAGGCAGAGTGTGGTTCAATTCACTGAAAGCCAACAAAACAGAACCAGAAATCAAAATCTTAAGCAAACTTGCAAAACATGAAGTCTGAATTGGCAATCCACAGTCATAGTTTTATCAAGCTAGTCACACTATGCCACGCACGCCTACCCAGAAGAAATCCCATTAAATTAAATGATGATTACTCTTCTGTAAGCATACAGGTAGGACTGGTCCCAGAAGTTGAACAGCTAAAGCAGGCAACAAAAGCTTGGTCAGCTTTTTGAACCAGCGTGGTTTTAAGAACAGGAACTACCTGTGGCACCCAGGGGAAACTTCTGATTGTTAACGAGAGCTGAAGCCCAGGCAACTTTTCAGCAAAATCATACCAAGGAGCAAAAAGGAAGAGAGTGAACCGTGTTTACACGTCATCACCGTGGAGCACTGTTCTTGAATGTATTCGTCACAAAAAGTGGGCTGGGACTCATTAATGCTGGGATAGAAGACCACCCTGAGATCCCAGCTCTGCAGACCAGGCTAGGAAGTTTTTTAAAAAAAGGTCTTAGAAGACAAGTTAATTCAAAAGAGAAAGCTGTCCTTCTAGACATGAAACATCTAAATGTTTTTTAAAAAAAGCTGACTGTGAAATCACTTTGATTCTACCATTTATGTATGTCATTCCGACCTGTGAGATAATAATCTTACATTTATTTGCCATACCTTTGCATAAACTAAGTGGCACTGTGTAATTCATGCAACAAGCAAATGTTTCTACAACAAAGTAACCAAAAGCAAGATTTCAGAGCTGATAAAAAGCAATTATTTCACTTATATAAAGGTTTATCTGCTGAGAACTTGAAGTCACTGCATCACTGGTCTTCTTGTGGAAGCATTTTTAGAAACAGACTGTCAAGGCAAGTGCATACATTTCTTCCAACAGAGCTACCTGCCAAGTACCATAGTTTACGTGCATGCTACCAAATCCAACTGCGAATGGGGCAACAGTATAGTTTGGATTTTGAAACTGCAGGTAGGCAGCTCACGAAACAGAGTTCACAAGGACTATTGCAGTGTTGTCCAAACTTGGGCACTTTAAGATGAGTGGACTTCAACTCCCAGAATTC